TGTATTAAATAGGGGAACTTGTCGGCAAATAAAACGGTTTCGCAGACCAAACGGATGTCATATCTTTCTTAGTTTATTTGATCGAGCCTCACCCTCAAGTCTTGTGTTTATCCCTTGGGGTAGATACAGGATTTGAGGTTGAGTGCTCTTTCATTTAAACTATGGAAAATATGAGGTCAGTTTGATTTCATATTTTTCTAAAATTATATATATATACGTAAATTAAAAAGTCCTTCCGAAGCGGGCGACGGGATTTCGATTCCGGCGACCGACAGCTTCTTACGGGCGACCCTCAAACATTTAAAAACTCTCTTTTCCCCCTTTTAAGCGCCGACAAGCTTCTACCCATATAACCTTCAATTTGTCTCTTCTCTTTCTTAATCTGAAAAAGCTAATTTTATCTGCTCATCTAACATGCACATTTTCTTAATCTTTGTTATATGTGTCCAAACTACCTTAGTTTACTTTCAATTACTTAGTCTTTAATAGATTTCACTCCAAGAATTCCCCTAATATAATCATTATTTAGTTTTTATTTACTAATTTTGCTACATACTTTTCTTAGTATTCTCATTTCTAATGCATTCAACTTAAACATCATTGATCTTTTTGTTAGGTATTGACTTTAAATCATGCATGAATCATTTGTTAGATAATGACTTAATTAGGTGTTACCCTATTATCCACGTTTGAATCATTTTATGAGCTGGTTATCAAGCTTCTTACTTAAAAGCTAGATGTGCTAGGTAGTTCTGCATAGGTTAGGTAACTTTGTAATGGGTTGGTGGTTAAATAATTTGATGCATGAAAGCATTGCTAGCATGAAGGTGTAAAACTATATTGAGAAATGCGATGAATCTCAGGAATTTATTTCTTCATTGGGCGATGTTGTACTTGAGTTTGGGAAGGTACAATAAGTATCATCTTACCATACATTATGCTTGTGGATTCATTATAAGTTAATCAAACCCACTTTCCTCTCCCATAAATGTAGGGTAATTTAAAATGGACTACGAAATCTTGTTATTCTCATATATGATGCATGATTTCTATCATAGTTACTTTATGCTCATTGAATTTGCTCATGGGCTGAGACTCGTGTCATAAAGAGACTACTTTATTTAAATAACAATAGGAATCAAAGTGTAAACTTTTTTAGGAAATTTTAAATTGAGAAGTTCGATAATATAACAGTTTTGGCTTTGGATGACTATAAGACATGGGTGTTCTATTCTAGCAGGGAATTGTAAAAGCACTCATGGAACATAACAAGATGCTTGAAACCATGATTTGAGATGGAAAGACCAATGATGTTTGGTGAATGATATCTTAACAAATGTCTTAGAGGAACCTCAACTGCAAAGGGTTTGTTGCTTAAGCTATAGTCATTAAATACGACCATAGCCTATCCAATAAACTCTATCAAAAATAGATGCTATACTTGTTACCATGCATGAAAGTGCGCTTATTAAACAACATCCAAAATGAACATAATTTCATCATTCAAGATTTGAGAAAATTTAATATGATTGTTGATGAGCAATATCAAGCATTTCCTGTCTTCGTTCTCTCTCGTATAGGAATTTATGTGACAATAAGTTATATGAGAGTAATGCAACCAACTTCAAGGATTATATAAAATTTACTCCTTTCTAGATATGAAATGTATAAAAGTTTGAGGGTGTATGTGATAAAAATCCAATTGAGAGATTATTGGTTGAAGGAAGATCTTTTGCCAAAAAACTCTACCTTTAATCATGAAAGAAATAATTTTCATAGTTGGTTTAAGAACATCAATTCTATTTCAAAATAAAGGGCACATTAAGAGATATTAACAGGCTAATAAATGAAAAGGGCAATATGTAATTGACAGCCAGGAGATGAAGTTAGCTATAGTAACTATAATCATAGATTACTTTGATTCTGATATGGTGACGCCCTTCTAGTTATTGAAGATGAGATTCCTACTTAGGAATCCATTGTCAGGAGCAGGACCAAGAGCTAGAATGTCCCAAAATCAGCTTGGTTGAGGGATCATATTATAATTTCACTTTCAGCTACAGAGGCAGAAAATTCTTGTCACTACAAAGAAGCGGTAGAGAGCTCAGATTGTGATCTTTGGAGAGTAGTAATGAATTAAGAGATGAAGTCTCTTTGGAAGAATGGTACTTGGAGGTTGTTGAAGCTTCCTCCAAGAAGAAAAGACATTGGGTGCAAATAGATGTATGCAAAGAAGGAAGGAGTGGTACAAGGCAACATTAGTGGCAAAAGACTCTGTGTAACGAGAATGAATTGATTATGACGAGGTGTTCTCCCCAGTGGTCAAGCATCCCTCAATCTGTATTCTCTTAACACTTGTAGCACAATACATTCTGATCTTGGAACAGCTCGATGTGAAGACTGCATTTCTACACCGAGAACTGCAAGAGGAGATATATTCGTCACAGCCGTTAAGATATGGAGCATCAAAAGATTTAGTTTGCAAACTGAACAATTCTCTGTATAGGTTAAAGCAGTCACCACAAGTTTGGTATAAAAGTTTGATCAGTTCATGAGAGGATATGAGTACACCATGAGCAAGGATGATCATTGTGCTTATTTCAAAAAGTTGGTCAATAGTGATTTCCTTTACTTGCTCTTATATGTTAATGATATGTTTATTGCATATGTTAATCAGATTAAGGTTGATAGAATGAAGAATCAACTGTCCAAATATTTAGAAATGAAGAAGTTGGGGGAAGCTCGTAGAATTCTCGATATGAAGATTCTTAGGAACAAGGCAAATGGAAAAGTTTGGCTCTCCCATGGAACATATGTTCAAAAAATATTGAAGAAATTGATGACTCGAGCAAGGCGGTGAGTCTACCCATTGCATCTCACTTTCAGTTAAGTTCATATCAGTGTTCAAAAGATGATCAGGAAAAGAAAATATATGCGATCAGTTTCTTATACTGGTGCAGTAGGTAATCTGTTGTATGTCATGGTTTGTACTATACCGGACATTGCGCATGTAATTAGTGTTGTGAGAAAACTCATGCATGATCTAGAAAATAGTCATTAACAGATTGTGAAGAGTATTCTGATGTATTTGAAGCGTACAGTTGATGTTGGGTTGGTGTTGAGAGGCAGTCATCCAGTGCAGATTTGTGTGTAGGCTACACTGACTTAAACTATGTAGGTGAAATGAATAGATGGAGATCTACAATTGATTATATATTTACATTGGCGGGAGATTCAGTCAGTTGGAGGTCAGTTTTTCAGTCTACTATTGTTTTGTTTATTACGGAGGCTGAGCACACGACAGTTATGGAGGCAATGAATAAAGTTATATTGATGCAAAGTCTATTGGATAACTTGGGAGTTAATCAAAAGTTTTTACGGTGTTCTGTGACAGTCAGAATGCAATATTTTTTGCTACAAATCTAGTTCATATGCTCGTACCAAGCACCATGATGTGAGTACCACTTTATTTGAGACTTGATTAAAGAAGAAAATATTATGCTTGAGAAGATAAATACAAAGTAAAGCCCGGTGGACATGCTCACGAAGGTACAACCAATCCAAAAGTTCACCTACTGCATAAATTTGTTGAACATTTAAGCTCAAGACTGATTGCCCAAGAGGGCATTTTGATTAACTACGCGAGGCTTGATTCCTTCGGGAGAGGGGTACGTAGGCAACCATTTCGGTGCAGCTAATTTGGATTTTGGAGCTCATTTAATCATCTCTCACTTATCTGGAAGTAAGAGATAAGGTGGAGATTATTATATTCATGGCTTTTGTTCAATTAAGGGTAATTTTGTCTTTTGGGTTTATTTACTTGTATGCCCTAGTCCTTCTCTATAACAGAGACTTAGGGCTTATTTGAGTTATGGTGAGAAGTTTTGAGTTATAACCCCCAAGCTGTTTTTCTTTCTCTCATCCGGTACTAGTAGAATCTATCTCCCCATAGATGTAGGCAAATCAACTTAACGTTGAATCGTGTAAATCTTTTGTGTTCGATTGTAGTTGTGTGAATTTCTACACTTTCGCATTATTTTCGTATAACATGAAGTTATATAAGGCATTATATATTGGATCGGCCTTTGAACCTCAAAACATGAACAAATCCAGCCTTGTGGGCGTGATGGATTGAAAGCTATTATAAGTACTTTCTTCGAACAACTTAGTCTTGTATGAAGACTGTCTCAAAATAATGAGTGCAAGGAAAAAAACCAAACTTTAAGGATCCTAACACAAAATTATGCAGCTGTTTGAATTTATCACGCCATACAAGTCCAAGGGCTTAAGTAAGGATTCTAAATGCACTGCATATTAGAGATAGAGTGGTTGTTAACGGATTTTTTATCTCAAAAATAAATCAAATAATAATATTATCATTAAGAAAATTTATACATTTATATTTTTATTTTTATTTTTATTTTTTTCATATTGTGTGGTTTCCTGCAGGTAGATTATTATAAAAATTAAAATGTGAAATGTTCTTGGAAATGCGTAAAATAAAAAGTGAGTAGCTCTTCAGAGACCCATTAGTTTAAATTCTCCATTAAAGCTTTCTCATTTTAGAAAAAAAGGTAATACTGTTAATCTTCATGATCTGGACGATGATGCGGATGATGATGTGGACGCGAAGTATGAAATCATAAATGCATTCCATTTAAAGGCATAAAACATAATAGTTAGAAATAAACAACTAAAATAAATTCAACAGCTGTAAAATCTTTTCTAAAACAAAGCAAATCAAAAGATTTGTTGCCTTTAGAGAATTACCTATACCAATATGTACGATGGTGAATTTAAAGTACGGATATGGAGGCTGGACTACAGCAGCAACAATGAAACCAATCAGGGAACCTGATATTGAACCAATGACAACATTGACAGGAATATACCACCTGAGCATATAGTATTATCAGTATAAATTTATCCATTCCCACAGTTTTCTTAGAAAGAGAAGCATTGAAATGAATCAACTAAGGAGAGCCAAATCACAAAAACAACCTGATGAAAAATGGAGATAAAATAGCAAATAAATGACAAAAAAAAACAATAAAAAATGTCAAAAGTGGAAATTTACATACATAAATACCACAATTTTTTTTGTACTTACATATCTAACATCCAAAGGTTGATTTTTATGCTTATACCACTTTGGTGTCATAAACCTATTGTATGAAAAGGTGTATTCACTTTTAAAGAAGTAGTGGTGATGGTATTTTTGATGTGATGTTAAAGATTTGAATAGTATGCATGTAAATAAGAATGTTTATGTAATGTAAATACTTAAACATTATGTGGAATGTATGTAAATGCCCCAAATAAAGAAGGGACATTTCAAAACATACTACAAGAATTTTTCTTATTTACCTAACACCTAAAACTTAAATATCACTGAAAAACCACCTAAACCGTCGAATATACCACCCTATGAAACTCTCATTTATTGCCCATTACTTCAACCATCTTGGTGAATGTTGGAGGACGGAAGAGACGTTTAAAGTGCAATTTTTTCCTTTAAAATAGAAAAATCAGCAAATGTCTTCCCTGAGCTATGCTCTAAAATTAAAAAAGTATGATAAAGGTGTTAGATCATTTCCTATATTTATGGCACTAACGTCCAGACACATCAAACTGTTACTGCTCGGCGTTGGAGATGCAACCTCACGGTCAACCTGCTACTCAGTGTCGAAGGAGCAACCACACTGCGATGATGAGTAGCTCATGTGTTGCCGAAGAGAGAGAGAGGGGTTGGGTTTCACAAAGTAACGGCAAAAAGTGGGACTCTCACAGGGTGGTATATTCGACGGTAAAATAGGATTTAAGGTGGTATTTCAGTAATATTTAAATTTTAAGCGTTAGGTAAATAAGAAAGTTGCTTGTGATATGTTTGTAAATGCCCCAAAAAAGAAACCATCAAAGGATCCCCTGAATTATCAGTCAACATTCATAATGGAAAAAAGAGACGCATCAATATAAACCTGTTAAGGAAAAATAAATTTATGTTGAATCATATAACAAAAAAATTAGTAAATGTGAAGATTATAATTCTCACCATTCCAGCAATTTTTGAAATGTAATTGCCCGACCAAGTTGAGAGAAAATTAGACAGGGAAGCAGAAGACAGAAGACTAGCTGCAGGATCAGGAAAAAACAATGTGTTAGCTTTTTTTCTATAGAAACTGGTAAATTTGCCAAAAATTATATAGGGTAATCAAACCTTTGCTTGTGGAAAGATATGACCCACAAAGCTTTTATAATTTTGGAAGGGATTTTTCAACCATCAAAGCAGGGTGGTTCGATATGTTATGAGCAAAAGAAACAATTTTGTGCATTCAACAGCAAGAATAAGCATTTAACTATCAATTAAGGTAAAATACAAGTCCTCAATATCATTTCAAAACAGAAGAAGTAATATTAATGTCCTGAAAAGGATGGTTGCAGTAAGCTAAATAAGTAGAATTATGAAGTTGAACAAATTATTTGATATCATTGTATCATATTCATTCAATCAGATGGAGTTCTTATGATGGATGTATTATATATTTGTAATTAAGGATAAGTTGTGATTTAATATATTTCCTTTCATATGATAAATTTATCAGATGTTTTGTTATCATAACTGCAATATAAAAAGTCATATTCTCATTATAGTTCAGAAGGTAATTTATAAAAAGGAGCAGACTAATTAGGTAAATTAGGATTAGGACACGTTAGGCGGGAATTTAAAACGGGGAAAAAACAGAGTTGAGGCCACGTTTCATGTTTTAACGTGAAATGCAGGTTCTTCGCGTGTTTCACCCAGTGACAAACTCCCATATAAAGGAAAAAATATTAGCTCTGCATGCGGAGTCCAATGAGAAAAAGTTAACTGGTAGGTGGGTCCCACTGGCAAAAAAATTAAAAAAACACATGTAGCGTGACCCGGCCCGAATTATCGGCCCCACCATGGACAAAATTTAAAATTTGCGTTTTGTCGCGCAAACCCGGCCTGAATCTAGCCGAACGAAACGTCGATCCAGACAAAAAGCACCTTTATGGCAGATTTTGGCATTTTGTTCTTATGTGGTTTCTGGTTTTCGGCGGTTTCGAGCGTTTATTCGTCGCTTCCTCTTCGACGGTTTGGCTTCCTCTTCGGCGCAAAGAAATAGCTAGGGTTTCTTGGATGGTTTCTCCTTCTTGCATATCTTCACAAGGTCGGTTTCTCCTTCTTCCTACGTTACACAAAAGACGATTTCGCTTCCTCTTCGGCACAAGACCTAGTGTTTGTAAGTGAGAGCATTGCGTCGTTCGACAGCCCCACAATTCAAAGCTCTAGTTTTCCTTTCCTCTTGCTAGCACATAACAGTGGAAGGTTGGAAGGGAATTGAAGAAGCTAGGGGTCAGCCAAAGTCTTTAAGGTATTATGCTACATTGTTTATTATAGATAAAATGATGATTTATTTCATTTTGCTATTGTTGTGTTGTTGTTGTGTTATAGTTGTGTTATGTTTATTTGTTGTGTTATTGTTGTGTTATATATGTGTTATGGTGGTGTTATTGTTGTGTTATGATTGTGCTATTATTGTATTATGTTGTTATAGTTGTGTTATAAATATGTTATCGTGTTCTAATTGTGTTATCGAAGTATTATGATTGTGTATGGTTGTATTATGATTGTGTTATTGTTGTATTACTTGTGTTTTTACCCTACTAACACTGCAATAGCAACAATCACACATCGATAACACAACAATAAAATATCGATAGCATATCGATAACACAGCAATAATACAACCATAACACAACTTTTACATAATTATAACACAATAATAAGACTAAAATAATGTGAAAATGAGTGATTGAAGAATGATGTCTATAAAATAATGTCCCTTTTTACATTATTGTTGTTGTAAGTTTATGAACACAAGGAATTTTAATTGTAGATGTCGTCTTTATGCAGTGAGGGATGCACTTGATATTGTTAGACACAACGTCTTCGAGGAGACCTTGAACTTGTTGAGAGAAATAAATGTCATTCAGTTTTTTGATAAGCCTCCTTATCCCCAAGATAAAATATTGACCCTATATATCTTGGGATGTTGAAATCATGAAAGGAGAGTGTTTGTAATCGGTGGGAAAGTGATAAAACTCCACCCTAACCATGTTGCATTGTTGTTAGGTATGCCCAAAAGATGATAAGTTGTTAGTTGGAGGAAAACTTCGTCGTATCGTGTAGATGTGAGAGTAATAAAGAAAGAGTTGACAGATTTTCACGAGAGTCTTCCACTCTTATCGAGCAATTGTTTCTTAAGTTCTTACTAACAAATTTATTTTTCCCTCAAGCAATTTTGGTGTGCACGCAGGGCTTTATTCATTTGGAGATAACGTACAGTCCTTCTCCTCTTTTAACTGGTCTGTTGTCATTTGTGATTTTATGATTGATGAATTGAACCTTGTCGTAAACAAAATAAGACGAAATCAGCCACTTGGTACATCAACAGATTTGTTTTTTCTTTTAACAGTAAGTTCATATTGTCAACGTTAAAAAATTTTTCTTTTAACTTTTTTTTATTCTGACAAATTTGTTTGTGGCATGTCCAATCCGCAGCATTGATTTTTTTAGCACACACCGCTGTTTACTCCTATCTCGAGGCTAGACCCCGCATGCTGAGGTCACCACCAAGTCATGGGTGGATAGCATCACAAATTCATGAAGTCTTTAAGAGGCTTGAGCATGTATAGGTATGTCATTTATTGCGCTAAAGATTTTCTTTGTGTTAGATTTTTTTCTAGGTTGTTTTACTGAATTTATTTTGGACATTATGATTTTCATTATAGGTTAATTACACAATTTTAGACTTGAAGGAAGATGAGCGCCAGTTGCTCTCAAATCCAAACCAGGGACCACCCAATTCTGTTAGACCGCTCTCACGCTGTGAAACTCCGGTCAGAACCACCGTCAACTAAATCCTATGGAGTTGGTCCAATTGTTTCAAGCGATGTAACCCCGAAAATAAGGGGAAGTAATGAATTTGAAGCAATAATCGAGCTGCTTGAAGCTCATAAAAAAAAAAGTGTAATATACAAGAATCAATTATTATCATGAATAAATAAATGTCTAATGTAGAAGACTCGTTGTCAACCCTAACAGCTATGGTTAAGAGATTAAAATAAACCAAAACTAATAGAGAGGTTCGGAGAAAGACTCCGGGAACAGAGCAATCATCTCTCCGAAAGAGTAAGGGTCCGTTTGGCGCAGCTTATATATGCGTTCGGCGTTTTCAGAACGTCAGGGTGGCGTTTGTAAAACACATTCGGGCCAACGGTGGAAATACGCGTGTAAGGGTTTATACGATTACCCGTTGCTTTGTTCGCCGCTCCGAGCCCCCTGCATTTCGCGTTTAGGGATAGATTATTACTCAGCTGCCCCCTTCGATCCCGTCTCGCCCCCTTTGATTCCGTCTCGCCGTCGTTGCCCTAGATCTGCGATCAGGCTCCCCTAATCTCGTCTCTGCTCCTCAATTCCGTTTGTGATCGGAATATTCGATCCCGTGCACCCCTCTGCTCGAAAGTTCTTTGAAATTTCTTTGAAATTTTTGCAGGTATCGTTCATCTGAAATTTTTTAACTGTTGGGAAATGTGATCGTTGCGTGAGATCATTCGTATGAAATTTTTTAGTGTTGGGAAATGTCTGTGATCTCGTCTCTCTTCCTCGTTCGTCTGAAATTTTTTAACCTGAAATTTTTCTTCAAAACGTTGTCTAGGATCGTGGTCTAAATTTTTTAGCTGTTGGGAAATGTTGTTATATGAAAGATTTGTTTTCTTCAAAATGTTGCCTGGGATCCTCATTTTGGCATTGTTGGAATGCAGAGATGTTCCTTTGGGTGAAATGTTGTTTGGTTGATCTTTATTTGGCATTGTTGAATGTTGTCATATGAAAGGTCAGTCAAACGTTGTTTGTCTGATCTTTCTTTTGGCATTGTTGGAATGCGGTGAAATTTTCTCTATTGTGACAAGTTTTTGAATTGCATATAATTCAAAGATGTTCCTTTTGGGTGGGTGATTTTAGCATTGTTGGAATGTGTTAGAACAATCATATACATGGAATAGCATATATCACATTGTTGGTTGTAACGAATGCTCTATCAATTACATGCAATAGCTGCAATATGTGGTTGACAGTATTTGTTGTATTGTCTGGTTTAATAGCTACATTGGATGAGCAGCAGAAAGCTGTATTAGTTGATAGTTTTTTAGGGTTAGTTGTCTGTACTGGTTACTAGATGCAGAAAGTTGTATTGGCTTTAGAAGTTTGAACTGGTTACTAGCTGCAGAAATTAAAGATGGAAGGTTTTGATGCATCAGCTTGTATTGTTGTTTCCGATTTTACCAATTTGATAGCTATGTATTGTTGTTTCCGATTTTGATGTAGAAATTTTTTGGAGTTTTGGTTTTAGGAATTTCCGCAGCTTGTTTATTTGAGAGCATGTTGTAGTAAGCTTACACATTTGAGAGCTTATTTGTAGCTATGTAATCTTACAGATTTTGTAATCTTAATTTTCGTGGATTGCCTTCTGTGGATGTAGGTCATTGGCCGAACCACATAAATCTCTTGTTTACCATTTTTATTTTTTTTTTTTTGTAAGTTTACCAGTTTTTTTTTTTTTTTTTTTAAATTGGAACATTATGAAAATGATGTTGGTTGTCGATGTTTATTTATAATATGTTATTTTAGTTTTAAATTGCAAAATATAATTTCATAAGTTGTGGAATTGATATGGATGAAGTTGGACTATTTTTTTTACACATTTAGCAAATACTTATTTTCCTTTGTTCCATAAAGTTCAATGTCTAAGACGTCTAAAGGGGGTCCCTCCGCAATGTGGGATAAAAAAGTTACCAATATATTTTGCGATCTATGTATTAAGAAAATTGAACTGGGCAACAGGGCAACTACGTATTTTAATAAGGAGGGTTGGCAAAATATTGTTAAGAGATTCAAAGAATTGACTGGAAGAGATTACGACAGGCTTAAATTCAAAAACAAATGGGACCAATTGAAGAAAGAATAGAAAATATGGAAGGAGCTCAAACCTGATTCTACCGGATTGGGTTGGGATCCCGTTAAACGAACTATCGATACTCCAGATAAA